CGTAGTCTTCTAAAGAGAAGCGCGTGTAGCTCGTCCTCAGATGCACGAGAGGGCGTGAGGATTCGCACAACCTAACAACAACAACAACAACAACAACAACAACAGAAATGTGCCCCCTTTTTTTTTTTTTTTTTTTTTTTTTTTGAACACTTTCATCACTTTCAACACTTGGCATATTTTATAGAATATTGAATATTGAGCAGCGCACCTCTGGTTTTGCGTGCGCTCGAGTCAGCAGAGCGATCAGCTCGCGGTCGTCCCTCTCGTGCGGGCTCTCCGCCCTCCCGCTGCTGTCGCTCGGCCCCCCACTCAGGTCAATCTGTGCTTGCATTCGCTGCGCCAGCTCCGCATCAAATAAATACGTCGCCGGGGCGGCGGCCGGGGCGACAGCAGCCGCCGGTGGCGCTGCCGTCGCGGACCGCGCCGCCGAACCTCCGAAGTGAGCAGGCAGAACAACGTCCTCTACTGCTTCCAGCAGCACACAGCCTTCTGACTGCAAGAGGCGGCCATGGCGGAGCGCGAGTTCCACCGTGTACTCGGCCAAGAGCTTCTTCGCCTCGGCCTGGCGATAGGCAACGGACTTGTCGCCCGCCCGCGAAGTGGCCACCTTCCTGGCGCGCGCCAAAACTGCCGTGTAGGTCTCCGCCCCGGCAAGGGGCGGCAGCCGAGTGGCCACCTCACCCAAACGGAGGACCAACTCCTCCACAGTGCCCTGATCGCAACCGAGCCGGTTGCGGTCGAACACCCGCCCAAGGTCCAGCGTTGCCTCGGCTCCCGGCACCAGCGCCGTGTAGCACGGCAGAGCGTAGGCCGCCGTGGTCGCGTCCACAAACGCGGCCGTCTGGCGGTCGGGCCGGGGAGGCAGCCCAGGTGGAGGCGGGGAAAGCGGTCCCATCGGCGCGCTGGCAGCCGCTGGGGCCGCGGCAGCCGCCGCCGGGGCAGCAGCCGCTGAGGAAGAAGGCGCCGCCGCTGAGGAAGCCGTTGTAGGAGAAGCAGCCGCCGAAGCCGCCGCCGTGGCGCGCCGCGTGTTGCGAGGCGGCATGTTACGACTCTCGAATATATCCCTTCTCCTCTATAGCTCCGGCGTATTTCGGGAGAGAAAAGGGGGACTGAACTAGGTGGGGTCATTTTCCAACATCCTTTCTGGAATATCTGACTCTTCTCGATTTCGTTCCGAAATCTAGATGCGTCTCAAATCCGAGATTACTCGAAAATAGACAAGACGTCAAGTAGGCGACAAGTCAGATGGAGACAGCAGATTGTTTTTTTTGCTGCCCTTTTGTTCTGTCGCGAGGTTGGGCATGAGAAACGTTGAGGTGCACACCGTGGGGAATACGAGGTGCATCTATGGATAATCTCGGCCATCGTTGAAATACGATGGACATGATATCGAACGTAGACAAACGGAGGTGCGGTTGTGCGTGTGCCGCAAAGAAATGTGACGAATCGCGGTCAGTATAAGGTATGGCCCGAGATGATACTGTTCGCTCTACCTCTTGATGTTGAAAAATATTCTGATGCGTTTATTAGTCACCCCTTGTCCACGCCCTGCAGCGCCGTCCCCACCTTTCTCTTTCAAGCCGGGCGTGGCTGCAAACCAGTCGGCACCCTTTTCCACCAACGCCTCTTTTCCACGTGGTCCGTTGACTAGGATGTGACTACGATGAAACGTATTTGATCAGCGATAGTGTGTATTGTTCACAACTCTGCGTGCAACGCTCACCACGGTGCATCTACCACAAGCCTGATTCACCACACGTGAATGCCGTGAGCGAATCAAACAAAAGTACCGTAAACGTCGGAGTTTTCCCCCTGGGGAGGGGATCGTTTTTTTTCTGAAACCAACCCCCCCGGGGGGAACTTGACGTACAGGGGGGGGGGGGGGGGGGGGGGGGCCAAAGCCGGGCTGCCCGAATCCTTTGGCCCTTGGCCCCCCCCCCCCACAAAAACGGGGGGGGGCCCCCCGGGGTTCCCCCGGAACCGGGTCCCCCAACCCCCAAGGGGAAAGGCCCGGGGGGATTTGGGGGGGCCCAAGAAGGGGGGAACGCCCCCCGGTAAAGGGGGTCGGGCACCTGGGGTTTCTTCCCTGGGGACGGGGGAAAGCCACCGAAGAATTAATTTTTTTTGGGGGGGCTTCCCCTCCCAAAAAAATTTTAAACCCCGGGGGGGGGGGGGGGGGTTCCAAACCCCCCCCCGGGGGAAACCCCCCCCCGGGGGGGGGGGCAAAAAAAAGAGGGCCCCCCCCCCAAACACCCCAAAAGGGGGGA